TTTTTTAAAAGGTGTTACAGAGAGAAAATAGATACCTAACACGTCACGCTTTAAAACTGCACACGCGCCAAACTACAGAACTTAAAAATCTCCATAAGTAATATTTTAAACATTTTCACAGGTTACCAGTTTGGAGTTACAGAGGAGATCTCACGCTAGAATTATTGTTCGTGCTCTAACGATCGCGGCGATACCTCACATGTGTGCTGCCAACATGGTATGCATGCGCAATTTACATATACATTTGCTTTTGCGCTTGAGCACGGCAGGATGGGGGCACTTAAAAATGTTTTTTTTTTTAATTTTTACCATCCCTTTTTATTTTTTTTTTTTTTTTATCACTTTTATTACTATTACAATGTTTTATAGCAAAAAGTCAAAAATATTGGGGTTTTTTTGTTTAAAAAATTGGCCTAAATTTATGCCGAAATTTGTTTTTTATTCATTTTATTTTTACTGGACATGTTTTATAGCAAAAAAGTAAAAAAATATTGGGGTTTTTTTAAACAAAAATAGCCTAAACTTTATGACGAAATTTGTTTTTTCATTTTTTTTTTTACTGGACATGTTTTATAGCAAAAAGTAAAAAAATTTTTTTTTTTTATAAAAATTGGCCTAAATTTATGACTAAATTTGTTTTCTATTCATTTTTTTTTTACTGGACATGTTTTAAAGCAAAAAGTCAAAAATATTTTATTTTTATTTTTTTTATAAAAAAAAATTTATGACTAAATTTGTTTTCTATTCATTTTTTTTTTACTGGACATGTTTTATAGCAAAAAGTCAAAAATATATAATATATATATTTTTTTTTTTTTCTAAATTGGCCTAAATTTATGACTAAATTTGTTTTCTATTCATTTTTTTTTACTGGACATGTTTTATAAAAAAAAAGTCAAAAAATATTGTTTTTTTTTTTAAATTGGCCTTAGTTTATGAATACATTTGTTTTTTATTAATTTTTTTTTACTGCACATGTTTTATAGCAAAAAAAAAACATATTGGGTTTTTTTTTTTTTTTTTTTAAAAATTGGCCTAAATTTATGACGAAATTTGTTTTTTATTTTTATTTTTTTTTTTACTGGACATGTTTTATAGCAAAAAGTCAAAAATATTTTTTTTTTGGGCAAAATTGTTGGAAATTTTTTTTTTTATTTATAGTACTTTTAAAGTTAAAAACGCACAAATATTGTTTTTTTTTTCAAAATACCCCTCGAAAGAAAGCTTCATTCGTGGGAAACAAAGGACGTAAATTGAATTTGGGTGCGGCGTTGCACGACCGTGCAATTGTCAGAGAAAGTAACCCAGCTCCATAACGCAAAGAATGGCCTGGTCAGGAAGGGGGAAATCCTCTGGAGGGGGAGGGGTTAAATTCTCCACATGAAGAGCATGGAAAGCAAAGGAGGAGGTGATGTTGGGTAAAGACAGGAAGTGAGGCCTGGGACAGGAAGTGATGTCAGGGACAGACAAGAAGTGATTTCAGGTACACACAGGAAGTTATGACGGGCAGGAAGTGATGACAGGTACACAAGCAGTGATGTTGAGTACAGACAGGAAGTAATGTTGGGTACAGACAGGAAATGATCTCAGTACAGACAGGAAGTGATGTTGAGTACAGACAGGAAGTGATCTCAGGTACAGACAGGAAGTGATGTGGGGTGAAGACAGGAAGTTCCTGATGAGAGGTGACTTATTAGGTAAAAGCCAGGAGGAATTATCGGATAACGAGGTAGATAAGGTAATTTCTTTTTTTTCCGTTCTTTTTTTTTTTCCTTCTTTTTATCTTTTTTTTTTTTTTTATGTATCCAACTGTTTTCTTAATCTCCCTCAATCCCAGCAGCCCTCTCCTCTGCCATGCGGGACTCTTTGCCCTCCATAGGACCCTGCTTACAGCACTGGGCTCCCGCTGCTTCCCTCCCGGGGCTACACCTCCTGGGAACATGCCCCGTCGCTAACCACACTTCACTGGAGTACACTGTGCTACCCCCCCCCCCCGCAGCACAGGAGGTCACTTCTCCACATCTTTGGTCAACAGATCTCCTGGGTCCCCGGAGACTCTTCTTGAACCCCACGAGGGTCTTCTACTGTTTCCCATGTGGTGGGTTGGACTGAACGTGACCAGAAGCCACCCTGGGCCAGGCATCCAGAGGTCCTCTAGCACTATGGATGCGAGGGGGTCCTCTTTTCACTATAGCAACAGCCAATCAGGGAACAGTCTAAACTCCTCTACCCTTGCAGCTATCAAAGAAGGGAAGATGGTTGAACTGGATGGACTTTTGTCATTTTTCAGCCAGAGTATGTAAAAAAAAAAAGTCCTTGATGTTGTTGGTTTTGGGTTTCATAAGGACCAAAACCAGTACTATACTTGGCATGGATGCCCCTAGACCTATTTGGTGGAGTTGGCTGTCATGGTGACATCCATGGGTACAGTACAAGCATTGTCCAGTGACACTTATAGGACGGGCTCACAATATAGACATTCCCGGCCATTGTCATGTCTACATGTCCTCCATCATACATGGTCAGTACTTCTTAGTAAAATGGATTCTCTCCAATCTTATATTTATCAGGTAATACTTCTCTTGAAAGCCCAACTTGAGATTTGAATTCCACTCCCATCCTGTTCTTGTTGTTGGTCACCTGAACAGAAAGTGAACACAAGGATCTCTACAAGGACGTCATGATGGACAATCAGCTGCCCCTCACATCACCGGGTAAGAGGAGACTTTATTGTAAAGGAGAGAGCAGTACGGAGGGTCCACCTAGATCCCCCATCATCTGATAAACACATAGAAACAATGGATTCAGTCAGTGTGTGTGTTTCCTACAGATGGATCCAGTCATGGGAACCCACCAGAGAGATGTCCCCGTCCTCTGTATTCCCGGGATTCCACACAGGAAGGTCACTCCATCCCTCACCATCATCAGGTAGATGGATCCAGTAATGGGAACCCACCAGGGAGATGTCCCCATCCTCTGTATTCCCGGGATTCCACAATGAAAGGTCACACCATCCCTCACCATCATCAGGTAGGTGGGACTGAGCATGAAGACCTAAAAATGTATCCTGAGCTATAAGATGACATTCTTCTTTATTCTACCATCTTTGGGGTTCAGGATGAATAACTGAAAGACATCAAAGCTAAAAATGAAAGAGGAAGAACACATGTTTGTTAGTGGAGATCAGCAGCCGATGGGTGGTCCTTTATATTCCAAGGGTTCTACAAAGGAAGCTCACCGTGTCCAGGTAGAGGGGCAACAGAGATGAAAAATCATTCTAAAAACTATCAGACAACATTCTTATACAGTATGTAATATTTTATTATTGGCAGTCAATTTTTCCAGATATATAATTTTTATCATTTTCAGGTTCAGGAACAAGACATAAAAGTCGTTAAAGTTGAAATTAAAGAGGAAGAAGAAGAAGAGAGGTTGGTGAGTGGAGATCAGCAGTCTATAGAGGAGGGGGAGATGACTGTGAAAAGTAAACAGGAGGAATCTTCTCTTTATATCAGCACAAGTAAGTAATAAACACTAAATGCAGAAAAAAGTAAATTTTCATTTTTCTTTGAGTATAAAAATGTATTTGAATAATTATCAGGTAGAGATAATGTAAACCATGTGGAAGGCTGATCTCCATCCCTCAATATAACGTCACGTTCCCAACAAATGAGGAGGAGATACTGGACACCATATGAAAGGTCCATCTCCATTCCTCAATATAACGTCATGTTCCCAACAAATGAGGAGGAGATACTGGACACCATATGAAAGGTCCATCTCCATTCCTCAATATAACGTCATGTTCCCAACAAATGAGGAGGAGATACTGGACACCATATGGAAGGTCCATCTCCATTCCTCAATATAACGTCATGTTCCCAACAAATGAGGAGGAGACACTGGACACCATATGAAAGGTCCATCTCCATTCCTCAATATAACGTCATGTTCCCAACAAATGAGGAGGAGATACTGCACACCATATGAAAGGTCCATCTCCATTCCTCAATATAACGTCATGTTCCCGACAAATGAGGAGATACTGGACACCATATGAAAGGTCCATCTCCATTCCTCAATATAACGTCATGTTCCCGACAAATGAGGAGGAGATACTGTACACCATATGAAAGGTCCATCTCCATTCCTCAATATAATGTCATGTTCCCAACAAATGAGGAGGAGATACTGGACACCATATGAAAGGTCCATCTCCATTCCTCAATATAACGTCATGTTCCCAACAAATGAGGAGGAGATACTGTACACCATATGAAAGGTCCCATCTCCATTCCTCAATATAGTGTCATGTTCCAGACAAATGAGGAGGAGATACTGTACACCATATGAAAGGTCCATCTCCATTCCTCAATATAATGTCATGTTCCCAACAAATGAGGAGATACTGGGCACCATATGGAAGGTCCATCTCCATTCCTCATATTTTCTGTTCTGATTGCCCCAATTACATGCCGGAGCTCTGAGATACTGTAGAGCGTTAGAACAACATGCTGTATATGACTTCTGAAGGAAGAATTCTTCTAACATGGAAACGTTGATTTCCAACAGGTGGACTCTATGTCTGGGATAGATTATCTTCGGAATATAAAGCAGATGAAGATGCCACCACACAATGTCCTCCAGGAGAAAATTCCGATACACAAATGCATCAGAGACCTCAACACTTGGAGAGACCAATGGATCCCTCTAAATCTGAGGAATCTTCCGATAGATCACATATTATTACTCCAGATATACATCTGGGATCTCACAGTACAGATACTTCAACAGATCCATCTAATCTCAAGGGATCTTCCATGAACGATGAAGGAGATCACACTGGAGAAGGCTCATTGTCATGTACGGTGTCTGGGAAATCTTTTGAAGAAACCAGAGAGCCTCCTATACACCAGAAAAATCACAAGAATGCATGTCTGTTCTCATGTGTAGAGTGCGGGAAATGTTTTAATCAGAAAGGTAACTTTCTCAATCACCAGAAAATTCACACAGGTGAGCGTCCTTTCTCATGTTCAGAGTGCGGGAAATCTTTCATTCAGAAAGGAAGCCTCCTTATACACCAGAGAATTCACACGGGTGAACGTCCTTTTGCATGTCCTGAGTGCGAGAAATGCTTCAGTTTGAAAGCGCAGCTTGTTTTACACCTGAAATATCACAGGGATGAGCGTCCGTTCTCATGTGAAGAGTGCGGGAAATGTTTCAAAGAAAAAGGTAAACACCAGAAAACCCACACGGGTGACCGCCCATTTACATGTTCAGATTGCGGGAAATGTTTCCTTCAGAAAGCAAGCCTAGTTTTACATCAGAAAACTCACACCGGGGAGCGTCCTTATTCGTGTTCAGAGTGCGGTAAAAGTTACATTCGGAAAGAAGGGCTTATTATTCATCAGAGAATCCACACGGGGGAACGCCCGTACTCATGTTCAGATTGTGGGAAATGTTTCAAGGAGAAAGGATGCCTTGTTCAACACCAGAGAAGTCATACAGGTGAGCGTCCCTATTCATGTTCGGAGTGCGGGAAATCTTTCTCCCTTCAGAAAAGCCTTAACATACACCAGAGAGTCCACACGGGAGCGCGCCTTTTTCAGCGGTGCCTTTTTTCATGTACAGAGTGTGGGAAATGTTTCTCTCAGAAACATATACTTTCTGAACGGGAAAAGTTTCTCTCAGAGACTTGCTGAACACCAGAGACTTAACACAGGAGAAGGTCCTTATTCATGTTCGGTGTGTGGGAAAGTTTTTGCTACAAAATGTGCGCTTGCTGAACACTGGAGAATTCACATGGCCTAACAGCCTTTGTATTGAGATGGATAACTGTGCCTTGCAAAAGTCTTCACACCCCTTGAAATTTTCCCACACTTTGTCACATGACAACCAAAACCGTCAATGTATATTACTGGGATTTGATGTGATAGATCCACACAAAGTGGCACATAATTGTGAAGTGGAAGGAAAATGAGAAATGGTTTCCAACATTTGTAACCAATAAATCTTTGAAAAGTGTGGCAGCATTTGTATTCAGCCCCCTTTACTCTGATACCCCTAACTAAAATCTAGTGGAACCAATTGCCTTCAGAAGTCACCTAATTAGTAAATAGAGTCATCCTGTGTGGCATGTGATTTCAGTATAAATCCAGCTGTTCTGTGAAGCCCTCAGTCTCTGCATCAGATTTGCCCAGTTTCACGCAGAATTTCACGTTGGCTCTTTGTCCTAACTCGCTGTCCATGATAAAACAGCAGACGGGGTAACGCACGTGGTCAGAATAACACCAGTTGCCGAGCTCCCGATGTACACGGGGTGAAGTCTTTTGGCACACTGACTTAGGAATGTTGGTGTTCCCTGTGACCATGCGTGCTGCCATCTGTTGGCACGTTGAAAAAAAAAACGACTCGAAACTTTATAATACCACGTCGTAGATCTAGGTCTATGGGAAGTATAGCAGTGCGGTCCTCTAAACATAAAGTGCTGACTCGGGGGGCCCCACATGGACCGCACCATGGAAATAATCTGTGCTATTTCATGGCCGATGTACGTCATTGTTCTTTTTTTATTTCTCAAAATTTCTTGACCCAAAGGGTAATCGGGCGGACTGACCATTTGGATACTCGGGCACTGCCCAAGGGCCTGGGGTCAGTAGGGGGCCCCATGAGATGCCCCTGGTACCTTTTTCATAGGCTTTTTTGAGTTTGGGCAAGGACACAGGGGCCCCATGATCCCCTATTGGCTTCCATTGGACCAGCCCTTGCGTAATGCTTATGAAATTTGAGTTTTCTTTGACTTCCGCTGTGCAAGATTTTATTTAGATGTATTGTGTGTTAATCACTTCATCTGCAAAAAAAATAACAAATAAAGCTCTACACTTGACAACATTCTGTTCTGGGTCTTCTTTGAAAATGAACATCCTGCCGAGACGATCGATGATTGGAAGGATTCACAGAGATTATCCCTTGGTGTCTTGTCATTGGAACGGAGAGTGCAGAAGGTCCAGTTCCTTGCGTGAATCAGATAATATATATCGATGGAGACAGTACAAATGGCGCATAGAACGTTCCCGTCATTGCCATTTTGGTTGTGCTCCTCATGGTCACAGTGATCAGTTCCATAATTTCACAGTCATTATCTTCATCTATGATAGAAGGGACATACCCATCATGTCAGTACATGTGGTATGTAGAGGAGGACCCCCCATACATTGGCGGGTAAGTGGAGATTAGTTTCATAGTTGGTGAGTGAAGAAGTGCCTCCTGACATTTTAGTCAACATGAAGAATGTCCTTTACATTGGTGGTCAGTGGGAAGAATGTCCCTTACATTGGGGGTCAGTGGGAAGAATGTCCCTTACATTGGTGGTCAGTGGGAAGAATGTCCCTTACATTGGTGGTCAGTGGGAAGAATGTCCCTTACATTGGGGGTCAGTGAGAAGAATGTCCCTTACATTGGGGGTCAGTTAGAAGAATGTCCCTTACATTAGGGGGCAGTGGGAAGAATGTCCCTTACATTGGTGGTCAGTGGGAAGAATGTCCCCTACATTGGTGATCAGTGGGAAGAATGTTCCTTAGATTGGTGATCAGTGGGAAGAATGTCCCTTACGTTGGAGATCAGTGGGAAGACTGCCCCTTACATTGGGGATCAGTGGGAAGAATGTCCCTTACATTGGAGGTCAGTGGGAAGAATGTCCCTTAAATTGGAGGTCAGTGGGAAGAATGTCCCTTACATTGGGGGTCAGTGGGAAGAATGTCCCTTACATTGGTGGTCAGTGGGAAGAATGTCCCTTACATTGGTGATCAGTGAGAAGAATGTCCCTTACATTGGAGGTCAGTGGGAAGAATGTCCCTTACATTGATGGTCAGTGGGAAGAATGTCCCTTACATTGGAGGTCAGTGGGAAGAATGTTCCTTACATTGGTGATCGGTGGGAAGATTGCCGCATACATTGGGGGTCAGTGGGAAGAATGTCCCTTACATTGATGGTCAGTGGGAGAAATGGCCTTTTTATTGGTGAAAAATGACACCTTACATGGACAGTCAGAATGAAGAATATCCCTTACATGGGTAGTCAGTTGGAAAAAATGTCCCCTTACTTTGGTAGTCAGTGGGAAGAATGTCCCTTACATTGGTGATCAGTAAGAAGAATGTCCCTTACATTGGTGGTTAGTGGGAAGAATGTCCCTTACATTGGTGGTCAGTGGGAAGAATGCCCCTTACATTGGTGGTCATTGGTAAGAATGTCCCTTACAATGTGTCCCTTACATTGGTAGTCAGTGTGAAGAATGTCCCTTACATTGGTGATCAGTGGGAAGAATGTCCCTTACATTGAGGATCAGTGGGAAGAATGTCCCTTACATTGGTGGTCAGTGGGAAGAATGTCCCTTACATTGGTGATCAGTGAGAAGACTGTCCCTTACATTGGTGATCAGTGGGAAGAATGTCCCTTACATTGGTGGTCATTGGGAAGAATGCTCCTTACATTGGGGGTCAGTGGGAAGAATGCCCCTTAAATTGGGGGTCAGTGGGAAGACTGTCCCTTACATTGGTGGTTAGTGTGAAGAACCTCCCTAACATTGCATTCATCAAAAAGCAGAAGCATAATAAATCACTTAAAATATTCCAAGCAACAAAAAAGCAGGATGTCATAAACCTCAATTAGGCCAGAGTCTGCTAATGGTTGTCGTAAAAAGATCTCGAGCAAGTCTGGTTTTGACCTGATCTTGAATTCACAACACACGGTTTCACTAATGTATAAGAAAATAACAACCAGTTAAACACCAAACGTGGCTATGTTATAAGGTGTGAGGGTGGACAGGACACATGACATCTGAGGAGAATATGCGTAAGATGCATATCACATTTGGTGTCTATCAAATCATAATTAACCATCAAATCTATGAAGGAGAGCCAGTGATACTGATTCCAAATTGGATTTTTTCAGCATTTTTCTTGCACCAAATTATATGCACATGGACCTCCTGGTTTGCACTTGCAGTCTTGCTGCTCTTTTTTTCCCACTTCAGGGCATTGAAGTCTTCTCACACAAACTCAGTACATTCACCTAGAAGCCCCTTTGCTATGCTAGCTCCTACCTGTCTCCTACTTGGAGCTCTCTTGACTCTTGGGCATGGATCTCTGTCCACCGAGGTGGAGCCCTGAACCATAGTGACGACTAAAAGCCTTGCACATACCTTCCTAATTAGCGTACTGGTTGTTCCCAAAAATCTGGACTTAGGAATGGAGACTTCATTCTTACCAAGTCTCTACAAAGTCTCTGGACGCAGGTCCCAAACCATGTCTTATTCACCACTGAGGAAATTAAAAAACCTCACACACCCTGGAGCCCCTCCACCTGTCTGGGTGAGAACCTTGAGGGCCACCAAACCTTTCCGATACATTGGCAGGGCAGGGCACTGTCACAATATGTATACATTGGTAAGCCCAGGGCTTTTTTCCTCAGAGAATGACTGCAGGAACTCCCCCCTTCCGAATCACCTCTTGTCTTTGCCCCCTACCCAACTCCAAGCACCGTTTCTTGGTTCAACTCCCTACCCAACTCAGAGCACCGTTCCTTGGTTCAACTCCTCGCCCAGTTCTGAGCACCATTCCTTGGTTCAACTCCCTGCCCAACTCCGAGGACCGTTCCTTGTTTCAACTCGCCACCCAACTCCGAGCACCATTCCTTGGTTCAACTCGCTACCCAACTCCGAGCACCGTTCCTTGGTTCAACTCGCTACTCAACTCCGAGCACCGTTCCTTGGTTCAACTCCCTACTCAGCTCCGAGCACCGTTGCTTGGTTCAACTCGCTACCCAACTTCAAGCACCATTCCTTGGTTCAACTCCCTACCCAACTCCGAGCACCGTTCCTTGGTTCAACTCCCTACCCAACTCCGAGCACCGTTCCTTGGTTCAACTCCCTACCCAACTCCGAGCACCGTTTCTTGGTTCACCTCCCTACCCAACTCCGAGCACCGTTCCTTGGTTCAACTCCCTACCCAACTCCGAGCACCGTTCCTTGGTTCAACTCCCTACCCAACTCCGAGCACCGTTCCTTGGTTCAACTCCCTACCCAACTCCAAGCACCGTTC